TGCCCTCTTTTCCCCTCCCTAGAGGAAAATAACATTTCTAACTTGTCTTTCACTTTCTAGAAATATATTTGTATACACATACTCTATAATACCCCGTTTTTACATAAGCAGAAGTTCGTTACACTTGCACATACCTTGCCTTTTTCACATAGAAATAGGTTTTGAAGGTTGTTCTGTATCAGTTCATATATGTGCCTCATTTGTTGAAATGGCTGCATAACACTCCATTGCATTTCTATACCGTGATTTATTTAACCATTCTATTAGTGGACATAAAGATTATTTAATAAATATTTTTCTATCGGTTGAAAATAATATTTGTTTACCCTCTTTAGTAGAAGTAAAATACTTTAAATGTGCAGTTCGGTAGTATTAAGTACATTCACATTGTATAACCATCACTGTCATCTATCTCTGGAACTTTTTCATCTTCCCAAACTGAAACTTTACCCATTGAACATTAACTTCCCATTTTCCTGTCTCCCAGCTCCTGGCAAGAACAGTTCTACATTCTGTCTATGAATTTGACTACTCTAGGGACCTCATATAAGTGGAGTCATACAGTATTTGTCTTTTTTATGACTAGCCTATTTCAGTTAGCATAATGTCCTCAAAGGTTCATCCATGTTGTAGCATGTGTCAGTATTTCCTTTTTAAAGTTGGATACTATTCTATTGTATGTATATACCTCATTTTGTTTATCCATTCATCAGTCAGTGGACACTTGGGTTGTACAAATATCCATTCCCAGATTTTGCTTTCACTTTTGAGGCATATACTAAGAAGTAGAATTGCTGGGTCATATGACAATTCTGTGTTTAATTTTTTGAGGGTTTTTTGTTTTGGGTTTTTTTGGTAACATGCTTTTTTCCCCCCTCCCAGAAGAGCTGTTCTGAATATTTCTGTGGAAATAATGTTATGTTGACATTTTAAAAAATTATTTAATTATGAAATATTTCCAGCATGCATAAAAGTTATATTGATTTGCAAGATTCTTCAATCTGAAAATTGAGAAATATGTTCAATATTTAGAAATCTCATATTTTAAACAGGAGTTTAAGGTTTGACCTCTTTTTTATATAAATTAATAAAAGGTCTTTTTTTTTTAAAGATGACCAGTAAGGGGATCTTAACCCTTGACTTGGTGTTGTCAGCA